TTTTTGGTGTTATGGCATGTCAAGTCTTATATTTTGACTTAAAATCAACATAACCATCCTCTCCTTGCACTAAATCTTACATTGGAAGTCTTTGCTACTTCCTGTGCATGGACACAAATACATTTACTGTTATAGCAAATTCTTTTCGTCTGCTTTTGTATCTATTATACAGAAGTAATTTATAAGAGAAAATAATTATGACATTTAAAGAAACAGAATTGAAAATAACTTTTATCTTTTTGAAAACTTTTTGTTGAAATAATGGAAAATAGAAATGACCACCAGACATAAGAATTGTGAATAAAATATAATAAACTAATTAAATTTTAAAAAATGAAAGACTATATTCAAGTAAAATATGCTGAAACTTAATTACTTTGAACAGAATTTATTTATGATAATGAGTTTATAAAGTGAATTTTTTTTTGCCAGACTTAAAGTTTTTATAGTAGTTTAATTTCTTCACAGAACGTCTTCTATATTTATACATTGACAGTGAAAAATAATCATAACAAATTGCCATTTTTTTAAATATTTTATTTTATTCATAAATTTTTATTTAAAAAGTTTGATTAATTTTAAACAAATTAAATTATTATTATTTTTCTAGCTAATCCTTTTTTTTAAAATGAAATGATCCTTAATTTTAATCCTGTATTTAGTTTAGTGTAAAATTATCTTTAGGTAGATTTTATTTAGTGCTAAATTTTATTAAATTTTTCAAAATCTTATTTTATTTTAAAATATTTATAATCACACAACAGTTGTGCTAAAGAAATCATTGATATGTATCCAAATCAGCTGCATGCAAAGGATATGAAAAATGGAGGGACACCTTTACATTGGGCTAAGACTGCACAGGTAATTAAATAATTATCTCTGTTTTGATATTTTTTAAAATAAATATTTCAATATGCTTATAATTGTTATAAATATTGTAATACAAGAAACACATACTTAACTAATGTTGCATTAGGATGTATCTGAATAATGACTTAATTTGAAAGTTAAGTTATTATTTCAATACGTCAAAGTTAAACTTAAATTACGATGATTAAATTACTGTTTCAATATTTAAAACTTTTGTTAATGTTAATAAAATTGGAAAATTAATATATGCATTGTTTTTAATAAATGATGATGATTAATTTTTTCTCAGCTTTATATGAATAAAATACATTGCTTTCCTGTTAATCAGGACTCTGCTTAATATAGACAAATTTTGTTTATTTTTCTACTAAATGTTCCAGCCAAAGCAAAAATAAATTGTAGATTATTTTTTAAAATTAATATGTACTGCACTACATATTTTAAAATACAGTGAAACCTTGGTATACGACCTTAATCCGTTCCCAATGTTTGGACTTATATACCGAATTGGACGTATACCAAACCAACCTTTCCCATAAGAAGTAATGTAAAAATGATTAATCCGTTCTCATGAAAAAAAAAAATGGCTGGCTTTAAACACATCGCTTTCCTGGCTAGTTCCTGCTTGATTTTTCCTGAGATCAGCATGTATCTTTTTAGCTTTCTCTCAAATAATTGCTTCCGATATGCTGTCTCCAGCACTGTTTTTCAGTTATCTAAAGCAAAAGCAATTTCTCAACATGATCTAATGTCTTCAATCTCTGTTTAGAAATTGATTTAACCCCTTTTGCAACGTTAGCAGATTTAATAATGTCTTTATTTTTTGCAATTGTCCATATCGTCATTCTCGGAATACGGTAGGCAACAGTTAAAATCTCGAACACGCGTGCCACTTTCGTATTTCTCAACAATCTCTTTTATCAGTTCTGTTGTAACTCTAGTTATTTTTTTAGTTTTCTGTCGCTTTTCATTTGCTTTTTTGCGATTCGTGATTAATAAAAATAATAAAATTTTACTTACGAATTAAAATCAGAAGAAATTTAACAAAGTTATAAACTGTTGCACCGCGAACATCTAGTCTGGTCTAGTACACTGATAGTGCTACTTGTTCATTGATGGCGCGTATAATTGAATTATGTTGTATACCGAACAAAAATCGTATACCGAGCAAAATTTGTTTCGTTCAAACAGGACATATTCCGAATTGGACATATTCTAAAGCAGACGTATACCAAGGTACCACTGTATATATATATATATATATATACAAAGTACTGTAAATCCTCATGTGGTGACAAATGTAAACAACTTCACTTAAATATCCCTGGGTAATTAAATGAAACATTTTTCTTTTAGTACTATAAGAGTAAAATAGGAATGGCTTATATTGTTATAATTGCCTATATTACACTTAAATGCCTATCTTTCACCCATGCTTACACAATAAACTGTTCCCATCTCCTTTGCAAATACATTGCACTGAATAATTCTTGCCAGTTCTTTATCATTTCATGGAAATACCTGGTTTTTGGTGTTATGGCATGTCAAGTCTTATATTTTGACTTAAAATCAACATAACCATCCTCTCCTTGCACTAAATCTTACATTGGAAGTTCCCATCTCCTTTGCAAATACATTGCACTGAATAATTCTTGTCAGTTCTTTATCATTTCCTGGAAATACCTGATTTTTGGTGTTATGGCATGTCAAGTCTTATATTTTGACTTAAAATCAACATAACCATCCTCTCCTTGCACTAAATCTTACATTGGAAGTCTTTGCTACTTCCTGTGCATGGACACAAATACATTTACTGTTATAGCAAATTCTTTTCGTCTGCTTTTGTATCTATTATACAGAAGTAATTTATAAGAGAAAATAATTATGACATTTAAAGAAACAGAATTGAAAATAACTTTTATCTTTTTGAAAACTTTTTGTTGAAATAATGGAAAATAGAAATGACCACCAGACATAAGAATTGTGAATAAAATATAATAAACTAATTAAATTTTAAAAAATGAAAGACTATATTCAAGTAAAATATGCTGAAACTTAATTACTTTGAACAGAATTTATTTATGATAATGAGTTTATAAAGTGAATTTTTTTTTGCCAGACTTAAAGTTTTTATAGTAGTTTAATTTCTTCACAGAACGTCTTCTATATTTATACATTGACAGTGAAAAATAATCATAACAAATTGCCATTTTTTTAAATATTTTATTTTATTCATAAATTTTTATTTAAAAAGTTTGATTAATTTTAAACAAATTAAATNTCAGGATTCTCCAATTAACTATATACAAACTTCTGGTGTAAACTAGAAGTTTGCATATAGTTAATTGTACAAATTTTTGAATTGTACAAACTTGTGGTGTAAACCAGAAGTTTGTACAATTCAAAACTTTTTTCTTGAAAGGAGTTAGATGACTGGCATGACTCCATTACTAACAGGAAATGTATGATATACAGGGGCAAGACACTATTAATTTAAGGTGGGGAAAATATTTTTAAATTAAATAAATGAAAATTTGATTGAAAATTGCAGCCTGACATTGTGACGATGTCACAATAAATAATTGCTCATGTAATTTGTTTTTATGATAATTGCTCATTGTAATTTGTTTTTATGATTCCCCTCCCTGCCAACATAAACTGTAGGCCTAGTTTAATATACTACATTATGTAAGTTATGCATTTGTAAGACGTGATATAAATTATATACAGTACAGTTTTGTGTTTAATATATTTTTTTGTAAATGATCAGTTATCCAAACAACCCCAGTTCCGAATTGTTTCAGATAATTGATGCTCACTGTATATTTGTAATGTCATGTTTTATTCAAGATGTTGGACTTCATTATTTCATTAGTTTCAGAAGAGATTTTTTTTCTGTTTATATTTGAATTAAGATCTTAAGAAACGAAAGCTGCAGATCCATGTATACTTTTATACAAAGCATTTCATAGAAGTGATGTCATTGACAATTACTATATCATTTATGAATAGTCTGACACAAATTAAATAATTATTAATTACATAATTATTATTAATGTCATATTTCATATTGTGACTATTAATTACAGTTTACATTATTGAGAAAGGATTTCATTCCTTTTAGTATCCTAGCACATCCTGAGACAATTTACTCATATATTTTATAATTATATAAAAGGGAGGATAAGGTTCTAAGTTATCTGTAAATAGGCCAGCTTTGTATATGTAACATAAGTTTTCCACATAGACAAATCACTCATTGATGTACTATGAGAAAATATTGTTTATTGTTTAAATAACATCTTCAGTTTCTGTGAATTACTGAAATACCATTTCAGTAATTCACAGAAACTGAAGATGTTAAAATTCCACACCCAACTTTAGATAACATGCATATGAGAAAATAGGAGATATCTTTATACTACTAGAGACAATTGTTTATTACATAAACACAGAGTTTTGATGGTGTGTCAAAAATTCAGGAAAGTAAACCAAGACTTAAAGAATTATAATTACTTGGTGAAAGTTATAGATAATGTGTGTACACAATTAGCAGAAGGCTTGTGTACAAACATTCAAATGTAAGGAAAGGGGAATGTATAAATAGTTAAAATGGAACAGAAAGGAGTAAAGTAACAATTATATATAAACAATTAAAAATGTAACTAATGTAATACATATGTATAGGCACAAGTGTATTTAGGCATAAACACAATTACTATACGTAATGGAGGTGCAACATAACTTAATTTCATTTAAACTTTTATATTGTTTACTTATAATAAATCATTAATAATGTAATAATTACTTCCTTCATTTGGATTATTTTGTTTACACAATATTTTTATTTTATTTAGTTTGCATCGGACAACAGATCAGTCGGAAGCAGAGATTATTTATTTACAACTCAGAGATAAGATCCCACTCATAGTAATGCTCTTCCCAGAAATGCTAACGAAAGATACTGTGCAAGAATTATGCGATATTATACGAAAAAATCCAGGTTGGACTTTAGCACATATTGTGGCACATTTTGGTCAAGCTGATAGTTTTAAAAATGAAATAATTTCTGGGTAAGTTAATATTAATTATAATTTATAAAAACTCATAGTAAAAAGTTATCTTCTTCAATGTTTCTGTTGAAAAAATATTTATTATTATAATGTTTTTAATTAAATCTTATTAAACTCACCTTAAAGATGTGTAATAAATCAGCTACTTACAATGCAGGATAACAAGGATCTATGTATTATTAAATGCCAGATTGTTTTCTCTATATTTTCCTTCCCATCTTTTTGATATTCATTGTAAATTAATATTTTGGGGACGTTACTATAGTTTAGAGATATCACAGTAGAGATAGTTCTTAGTACTATACATACTATATAAGGAAGATGGATCTTCATCAATTCAAAGACATTCAGGAATGTTAAACTAATTAATAGTTACACTATTAAAATAGGGTTTCTTGTGAATTTATAAGAATTGGATGTTTTTTGATTCCTTTAGCATGAAGTTAAATGAAAAAATTCTTTAAAAATGAAACATCTGGATTACTAAAATAACAATCATTTAAAAAATAGTAACATGTTGTTGACAATAAATCAAAAACCTTTAAATTCCCAACAAAATTCATATATGCTTATTGTTTTTGACTGTTTTTAATTATCTCCAGAACAAAAAGAAAAAGAGAATATTAAAAGACGTTAAATTACAAATTACAGCAAATAGGATAATATACATGTAACATGAAAAATATTAATGTAATTTTATAACTTTATGCAAACTATTTCAAAAAATAATAAATAAAAATATAAAATTAGGCCAATTTAAAAATTTTTGTTTGTGTTTTATTTCTTTTTTCCTCCTTTGATCCAAGCTCATTTATTTTTTAATTTGTTAAAAAGATCACTTTTCACTAATGGTTATGTTTTTAAGATATTAGTTAGGGATCCTTTCCTCTTGAAAGATGAAACGTAAAGGATAAACAC